AACTCATAAATTAACGTAATGTAAAAAACTATAACAATGCAATATAACGTAATATGTTAATATATGCCACAACTTCACATGAATGAGATATTGGCTTGAACAGATTAAAGGAAATCTTAGTTGTGGTCTCTTCTTCACAGCGTACACGGGAAAACTATTAAAGTACATTAATGTACGGTTTCCCTTGGGACTTGAGTTGGGTTTTCAATTCTACCTGGCCGAGTTCGGCAAGATGGGCTTTATAATTTATGAATTATAAGGTCCATGCCCAACAGGTATGCTGCCATTCAACTTATTATAACCGAGGTTCAGGTCTAGAAGGTAGCTGCACCTTCCAAGACTTGAGGGAATGCTTCCTTCAAAACTGTTGTTAAACATGTAGAGGTAGGTTAGCCAAGTGATGTTTCCCAAGGAAGATGGTATCTCTCCAGACAGTCCATTTGAATAGAGAGAGACTTTTCTCAATTTAGAAAGTTCTCCCAGCGAGGGAGGAAGTTTGCCTGTCAACAGATTTTCGCTCACGTATAATGTTTGCTGGCTTACCAGAGTCCCTATGCCAGGAGGAATACTTCCAGAGATGAGATTTCCATAAAGGGAGAGTTCGTTTAATTGGGTGGAGAGGTTGGCTATGGAGGCAGGTAACTGTCCCCCAAGTTTGTTGAAGCCAACATTCAAGGATTGCAACTGAGTGCAGTTAGTCAGAGCACCAAGAAAATTAAGATCCCAGCAAAATAGCTTACTAAGGCCCGCGTGGCCTAAAGACGTAGACCATTCATCTTGTCCTATATAAGCGTAATTCCACATTTTATATTTATAATTAAGCAGGTACCCGCGCCTTGCGCGGAACAAAAATTACAAAAATAAATTTTTAGAATTATAAAATTAAGCTTTTATATTTAACACACTATCCATTATTTATTTTAGTTAATGAACACCTAAGTTTGATATATTATAGATGTGAAACTATAATTTGAACAATCCAATCAAATAATTTGAAGATTATTACTCAAAATTATTAAAAAAGGAAATATAAAGTATCTAGATGATAACAGACATATAATTATATAATATTTGGTAACTCTTCTTCATCGCACAACACGATGAAAAAGATGCCGAATTGTTTTTGGGATTGGGGCTTTTTCTTGTCGAAACCAAGCCTCTCCCATTCATATCAAGTGGTTTTTTCTCTTCAAAATCCTATCTAATCGTTTATCGATGCTTATCGGTAAACTTTATAAAATTTTTATAATAATATAAGGAATATCAAGACAAAAAAGACAAATAAAAAGATGCAATATATACCATGATTACGTATTATATCAATTGATTAGAATTTTCGAGGTTAAGAGCTTCGAGCAAAACCTTAGAAATCTGCAAACCAAGATATTTGAAACCTAAAATGAGAGCCTAAATAACCCTCACAAATTTACATAATAAGATGTAATTTTTAATGAAAAGTTTGAAAAAATGCCAATTTTGAAATACCACTCTTTTGAAATCTTTAAAAAAAACCC